TAATCAATTGACAGCACTCATAACATTCGGCTGGTGGATTGAAATAGTTTGGGTACAAGATGCACCCCTACAAGTTATGGTGCTTCCTTTCATCCTGCTGTGTTGTTGTCAGAGTGCTGCTTTTCCTGTCTGAGGTTTTTGTGATGAATATACTTTATTGCACAAAATCCCTTTAGAAGCCTGGTCACATTTGCACAGGGTCAAGAAAGATGCTCTCAGTATGTATGTCAAATATGGCATTATTTTGGGGGTTGGGGGGATGAAACACACCCCAGCAATAAAAGAAAGTGAACACTTCAGATTAGTAAATGTGTTGCTGCTCTGTGGTTTTAAAGATGAGATGCTCTCAGTATGTATGTCAAATATGGCATTATTTTGGGGGTTGGGGGGATGAAACACACCCCAGCAATAAAAGAAAGTGAACACTTCAGATTAGTAAATGTGTTGCTGCTCTGTGGTTTTAAAGATGAAGGTCAGGTTGAAGAGGTTAATCAGCCAGACAGTTACTTAGCTAAAATGGGTGGATTCCTACTTTTTAAGTAATACTTACTGGGTATGTAAATGAATTTAGGGTTAGGAGGATAGATAAGGGATGTTAGACTAGCTAGTGTAACAGCAGTGCTGAGGTGCTGAATGCAGCAATGAATGTCTGCTTGATTTGCTGCATACATACCAGAGAGACTGTACAGCAGTGCTTACATTCTTGCACGAATACCTACATTCATGAGTGTGTGAGCATGGTGTGTATGCATGTAGAGGTCATCTGTCACTCTTCTGAATGGGATTTGTGCACAATAAACCTGTAGCTGAGCCCAGCAATGGAGATGGAGTGCACTGTCAGCTGGCCAGGATTTATGGAGGTCAATTCAGTTGATGAGTACTGGGAAAAGCCGTCTGATAAAGGCTGATTAATCGCCCTAACATCCAGCTTTACATCCTGCTTTACTCCTGGCCCAAGATAGATTAAATACAGTCATAATTATCCCTGAAGGAATCCTAATATCATGCACTTTTGCTTACAGGTGAAAATGTGCCATCTTTCATAAGGTGGAGGTGAGAGGAGCGCAGAGAGAGAGATTAGAGGCAGGAGGGAACTTGGAACACCTGTGGAAAGTGCAAAATGCAAGGTGGAGGCATGGGATTGCAACTACACTGTGAATGAATGCCAGTAAACCCGATCCACAAGAATGATTCACAAAATGAGAAGAAGAAATTTTGAAAAACAGAGGGGAAAGATTACTAGCATGGCTGAGTCTCCCTGGTTTCTGTAGTTTTCCCATTTTTCTTTCTATCTTTCAGTCCCTCCATTCATTCTCCCTTCCCCTTAGAGGAAGGAGGGATATATGGTGTCATTTGCCAAGCTTTAGTGGTGCATTTAAGACCACTCCATGGATTGGCATTCTACAAATTAGCAAGTGTGCGTTCTCACTGGTTTACTGCTCACAGTTCAGGCCATGGAAAAATTAACATAAACCTGCTCGCTCATTGGCGGTTACTGCCAATGCTTAATTGTAAACTGATGAGACATATTCACAACACAAAAGATAGAAAGATGCCACATCTACATAAATGAGTAATGATTAAAGAGCCCATGGCATGCTTTTCCTTCTTTTTTGACTTATCTACAATGTTACAACGGTGAATTACCATCTTAGACGTGACCTAAAGTAAAAAATGAGGTGTACATATGTTCTAGTATTTCTATGTCAAAGCAAATTAGTTTATATACATTTCGCAAACTCTCTCTTGTGAGATATTTTCTAACAAAATAAAGTATTATGTGATAGTTTAAGGATTTCCTTGAATGGTCACAATCTCCAGGCAGTTGCACATTCATGTGAGCTTGCCTGACATCCACTGGTGCCATTTTAAAAGTGGGATTTTTTGATTGCACGTGGTTTTGTGGCTATATTTTACCTCCTGTACTGTGACCAGAGGATGTGGAGAAAAATACAGGACGTGAGGTTACTGCATGTCCGGGAATGTTTCTGTACAGGGACTCGCTGTTTTACTTGACTGGGTCTAACCTACAAGCAGCTGGCCAGTGAAGCTCGTTAACAAGCGAATTAACGTTACATGATGTAATTGTCAGTGCTACGCTAGCTGTTAATTAATTTTACTACTTCGGGACTGTATGTGGTCGTGTGGGCGAAGACATGGTGTCCACCGGTTGGATTTACTGACTTTGGTGCTGCTTGAAAGGGAGTGATGTTCCCACTATTTGGTGGGACTTAATGGTAGGTTTAAAAGAAAATAACGTTGTATGTCTCTTAATACGTTGTTTCTATAATGTTAGAGAGAATTGTTGTAAGGCTGGAGAAGTTACTATGTATGTCTGCGTAATGCCAGTTCATATATGGGGTTTCTCAATTACCTGTTTTGTTTAGAGTGTTACATCAGTACATATACCATTATTTACCTATCTATGGAGGAGAAATTTAAATTAATCAATGCGGCTGTGGTTCATTGTGCTGTCCACTTTCGACACAACACCGGCAGCAGGAGTTGTGCATGTTCATAAATTGTCTTCTGGTTTTTAGGAAGAGGCTCTTTGGTTTTATCACTCTGAAATAATTACAGACTGTTTGGAGTTATAATGGGTGTAAAGCTAATCTAGAGGTACCCAAGATTAAACATTAAATGGCTGAAATTGAGCAAAATGAGCAGCCATTGGCACTTTAAGGTTAGGGTTCAGGGTTCAAGAATCAGTATCATAGTCTGACAAAATTTCATAATAAGTACTGATATTTGGGAAATCTCTCATTAAGATTTGAGCTTTAAGACATGTGTTGTACATAAAAACAACAGATTGTACAGTACAATACTCTTTTATGAACCTGGGATATTGTTGAAGTGAAGAGTATTTTGGAGCTTCATTTAACAGAAGGCACTAAGGAAAAATTAGTTAATTAACCAATCTTTTTTAGCTCAAGAAAAAGTTAAACAGTTTAATCAAAAAGGCTCTTGCAGTTTTAAAATGTGGGAAATGGCTGGTAATTCTTTAAAACAACATCAAGTCATTTCATGCATTTTTTTTCAAATAATGAAATATTTTGTATTGCTGTCACCAAAGTGTTTGCATTGCCTTAAATCTTACTGACAGTTTGATGACCGGAGAGGGCCAAAGTTGTCTCACCTCTCCTCAGTTCTCTCATTATTTAGACCTTGGAACACTTTCTCTCCCTTTCTGTTTATAGCAGAGTGCCATAAATTGTAAACCTGCTAGATATGAAAATTTCTATGAACATGCATTCTTTTTACTTATACTCTGTCCCCCTAAATAGGAATGGTTTAATACATTTTGTTTTAACCCAAACTGAAATTTTTAGTTCTGCCAAAAACAGTGCAAACGTTCAGAGCTGACCTCTATTAAATGTGGACATATTAATAATAAGGATAAGAACATTGGATATTTAAAAAACTGACCTTGGATTATTGTTGGAAATACCTAAGATTTAATTCTTTGAAATGTATTGCTATGTAAACTGCACTACTGCTGTGCATTCATTTTGATTATGAAACTAGTACAAAGTCAAAAATTAATCCATCATGTGTTCTGTTTTTCAAAGTATTTTTTCTGCAGTTTATGAAACCTTCAAAGGCAAAGCATGTATTAGTTTTACTATCAGAGACTGTAGCTTACACTGTGGTAGAGAGAGAACAAAACAGAATGAGAAACATCCCAGCAATAAAAGAAAGTGCTGCTGCTTGGTTGTTTTGAAGATGCAGGTCAGGTTGAAGAGGTTAATCAGCCAGAGAGACAGTTATTTAGATAAAATGGCTGAATTCCTAGTTTTTAAGTACTACTTACTGTGTATGTTAAGTGAATTTAGGGTTAGGATGGATAATGGATGTAATAAAAAGACAGACAGGTGTTAAACTAGCTTTTGTAACAGTAACTGTAGCTACGTGTGTACCGGATGTGCTATTGGAGAGATGGAGCAGTTTATCTTTTGTATGCTTTATAAAGACGTGCTATAAATGCCTGAATAGACATGTCTGTTTGTATGTCAACATGAACATACTCCACAAAACACACACACACAGACATATTAACAGAGAACGATGAACAGTACAGCTGTGATACTAACCTCGTCTCTCAAAAACTGCATTTATATACTACTAAACTGTTTTCTCAGTTATGTAGAGGTGCAGTGGAATTGCTGGTTGGATTATGTTCAGAGGCAACTTTTTTTTTATTAATGGCAATATTACAAAAACATACAACTGTCACATTAAACAGGTTCGTACCCACAGTCCTAGTTGTTAATCCAAGTGGACACTATACAGCAAGACTGTATGTTTTGTTGGAAAACAAATATTTTATCTGTTAATATTTTATTGACATGTTCAGAATCAACATATTTGCTCATTTTAACATTTCCACCTTATGTTAATAGGAAACATACTCAGTCTCAATTTTGGTTCCTTCAAAACATGTTTGCTGTTTCAAATGAGTTGTATACTAATATATTTTCTAATAGACAGGGTTTGAAGGAATGGATCTAAAGTTGCTGTTTGGTTAGGTTGGTGGCTGGAGGGATAGATGTAGGGGTGGAGGGAAAAGCAGGAAAAGAAGGAGGAAGAAATAAAAGAGGTGGATGGCCTCTCTCTGTCAGGGTGGATATTTAGAGTGCTGTAAAGCTGTCTGGGAATGAACAGATTTCAGACTAATGAGCAAAAAGGTGAGGAGTTAAGGGGAGCGGAAAGTCTCAGCACTTCTACCAAATGAAACCAAGCTGCCACTTCAACTGCACACACATACACACTCAAGTGTATCGACAAATAAATCAGTGCATCCAGGCATGCATATTCAGAAATATGTAAATCTGTGATCTATTTCAGTATTGATCTAATGCACAAGGTAGATGCTCAGACACCACAGGGAAGGAAATAAAGATGAAAAGAGAGGTGTAAATATATAGACTGAACAGTGAGGATTCTGTAGTACAGTATATGTTATTCAGTGCATTTTTCCATTCAGAACTGTGATTCTTTACCTGCATAAAATTCAGGACCATATACCCCTCCAACCACTGGATTCAGCTTCCAGCATGCACAAGAGACACACACACACACACACCCACAAACACAAAACACACACAAACATAACAGGGTGAATGTTATGAACTTGTAGTTGTCTGGAGTTCCAAAAACACACCCTCTCTGGAGCATTATTATACTGCTGTAATTTACCTATTAAAATACAAACCATCAGAATATCACCTCTTACTACTGTATTTGTCCATCCAATACAAATTTATACTGCACACCTTGTACATCAGAATGCTAGATTAGATGTCTGTGTATGACTTTGCACTACTTTTGCTGGCTGGTAGTTACATCAAGCGTGCTACCATAAAGCATGTCCCACAGTTCGATTAAACATTTAGGAGTAGCATCGACTGCTGGATACAGCAATGTCCAGCCTGCCACATATACAAACAAATAATTTCTTGGGCAATGACAAGAGCACACTCGTGAATCCTTAAATATTGTGTCATATTGTTTTAGTGCATTTCTTGCTGTGTTGTCAGTAAACTTTTTAATAATTTTGAACTGGCTGACTCTTCTTCTTTTCCTTGTTTGGTGTGTGCATGTGTGTGAGTGTTTGTGCTTGGGATCTGATGACAGTGACGAATGGAAAACCCTTTAGGGCTGACTCTCTCTTTCTCTGCACTCTGCAACAGGATAGAGGTGTGTGTGTGTGTGTGTGTGTGTGTGTAAGAGAGGTGCTGACATGTCTGGCCATTTAATTCCCTGCCTTGTTCATCCATCCCCTCACCCTTCTTCTCAGTCTCTTCTTTCTGTCCTTCCCTCCCTGCCTCCACCACTCTTTCATTTCATCCACATGAATGAGCGTCTGTAAAAGAGATGGAGGAAAGAAACACACCCTGCAGGCCCTTCTCTCCCACTTTACAAAGTACTCCTGGCGCTTTTTATTCAACCTTTTCATTTACCCATTCCGTCTCTCATCCATCTACCAAACTCTCCTTGTGCTCCTGGTTCAGAGCCCCCCTCCATCTCTAATGTTCCTCATTCTCTGATGCCCTTTTCCCTTTTATCGCCTCTACCTGCCAAGTAAGCCAGTATTTCACTTTGCTATTTGTGTAATATTTCAAACCAAACTGACTGCCTCTTTGACAAATATTGATTTCATTAATCAAGTATGAAAGCAGAATTTGCTGTCTGGCTTCCATTTGAATAAGATCCTAATGACTTACTTTTTCATAAATGTAGCTAAAGTCTATATAAATAAATGTAGCTAAAGTATGCTCTGTGATGCAGCCATGTCTGATACTGGTAGTGAAATGAATGATGGGGAGGAAAACTATACAGTGGAACCTAATGACTAGGCAAAGAAGACATGAGAGTGGGAGAAATGAAAGAAAGCAGCATTTAGATGACAAAAGATCTTGGGAATAAAACTGGATTCTTACCATTTGTGTAAGGGTTTGCCACCTTTTTGTTGGTCATTACTCTGGCTGTGGCATTGTTTACCTGTCAGCAGACAGAGGTTAGTGTGAGGACAGATACACAAAAACACACCCACACAAAGGAGCAAAAATTGTGCATAGTGTGAATATTACAGATCATAGCCACTCTCCATGTCATGCTGGTATTTCATAATTTCAACAAGTGCAGTGCAACTACATGCAGTGAGTCAAACATCTGATGTTGAAACACAGTCAGCAACATAACATTCAAGAATAACAAATCCTCCAACCTAAATGACCGTATGCGCTAGGTTGTTGTCCTTGCCCTCTGTACCACTCACAGAAGGGTCACAGGGGCAGGGACCCTTTTATGATGGGACAGTGCTATAGTAAGTGTTTGATTAGGTTTAGGCACAAAGCCAACATGTTAGGTTTAGGTTAAAATAAGGTTAGAAGACATCATCACGTTTACAGTAATAAGATAATAGAACAATTGGGGCCATGGTTAGAAGAAACAGTAGCGACTGTCTGTTGGAAATGGGAAATGAACAGCCCAATGTTTTGCAGACCCCCCTCCATACACCCGACATCCTCTGTACAAGCACATTGTCACTGTATATTAATGTTACCTAACTTGATCTTTTGCTCCTGTGATTATTGCAACAGCCAATAGAGGGTGCTGTCACTTGAATGCAAAATAAATGTGTAATTTTGGGGCATTTGCTCGCCACTGACACCGTCTCATACAGCTACCAAATATCATGTATCAACTAAACATAATTATGGGCCATAATAAGCTGCTTGAACACACAACCTATGGGGCCGTTTTTTTATGTGAGGAAGTGAGCTAAAATGCAGGTTAGGTTAACTGGTGACTCCAGACTGTCTGTAGCTGTAAATAGGTTTTATGAGTCTGATTTTGGTAATTTGTGGGTGAAAGGACATCTAGACTTGAGGTTAAATGTGGGCTACTAATGACTGAAAACAGACTTGTTTTAGGGAGTGATTTCAAAAGCTGCAAAATTTAGTGTCATCATTTTTTTTTACCTATATTAAATTGTTTTTGTTGCATAAACCTAACCAAACACAAAGCTCAGTGTCAGTGACCTGAGCTTTGCACACCCACTATCCCAAACATCTTACCAGGAAGCATAATGCAGGCAGCATTTATGTTTCTTCCCATTAGAATAATTGTGAAGGTAAAAACAATAATTCTGCTCCTCTATTTGATGAACCCTAATGAATTAGGATGGAAAAAATGAAACAGGAAGACGAGTGAGCGGATAAAAACAGGGATTTTACTCCCCATGCAAGAGGATGCTGACATCCAAATAGGATACTGCTATGGTTTGAGGGCGGTTTTAACAAGGTGGAAGGCACACTGGCGGATCACTGATCGGGGAGGCCATTATTAACCAGGGAGTTTCTCAACTCAAATGAAGAACCACTGTGATTTCATGCACAAGCCACAAACTCAAACATGTGACACCATCCATCATGAGCAAAGTAGAATTCAATATGTGCATCAAAAACACCACACCACACTCACACTACTGAATAGGTCTGTCTTTCTCTTTGTCACACACACTTACGGATCAGGGTTCAGCATGCAGCGTTCAAGGTGCAGCAGGCAGGTGGGAGAGGGGAAATGGATATAGGAACACAGGGGAAGGAGGGGGTATTGCAGGATACGTCAGGCAGGCAGAGAAAGGAAAGAGAGGGGGTCAAGGTAAGGAGGGGAGTAAAAGGAGAAGAGTGGGGACAAGAAGTAAGGAAAGACAGGAAAAGGAGGCACCTCTATTTTGCGTCCCTCTACGATTGTACCATTTAGTTTCTCCCGTGCACGGTCAGCATCTGCACTCGTTTCAAATGTTACAAACCCAAAGCCCTGCAGTGGCCAGGAGGTGGGATTGAAAATCAAGTGACAGAAGAAGGAAGTCCAGAAATGGAATGACGAAACAATTGGGGAAAATAAGAGAGAAGAAAAAGACACAAAGTACAAATGACAGAGCTGCAGGTCAGGAGGTCTAGATCTAGAAGCAGAAGCCAGAGAGATGTCAGGCTGGTTAGACACACATGAGAAACAGAGCTGGAGTAAGGAAAGTTGGGACACAGGACATCAAACCATAGACAAGAGCTCTGATTATATTTAAATTGCCACCTCATTATTGGATGTGCGTGTGTGTGTGTGTGTGTGTGTGTGTGTGTGTGTGCACGCGCGGAGGTGTGGTGGTTCTGCTGACATGCCAAGGCACTGTGGAGGAGCAGGGTCATACACTTAAAATCTCCACAGCATCAGTCAGCTGCGACGCTCTGAGCCCTAGGACGCAGCTCGCTCATGAGACCCTGTCTACTTCTCACACTGGGCCTGAAGATGTAGCTCACTCAAACAGCCCATATGAGGTAAAACATGCCCCCAACCCCTAACCTGCAATACCTTGTCTATCTATCTATGTCAGCAAGCTTAAAGTAGGCAGAGAGTAATAGCTGAAAACTCCTCTCTGATCTCATTGATCACTGCCTGCATGAAGGGCCCTATATGCTAAATGTTCCATCAGCGTTGTTGAACTAAACTCAGGAATTCTCACTTCATGAACTTCCAAAGAGACATATTATAGCCAGGGGCACCAGTTTAATAACTTTTTATACTATGGGCACATAAAGCAAGATTTCTGTTGTGTTAATTTTACAAGCCTTTTACATCTATATGGGATTTAAAAGCTCAGCACACAAACACAAACTAAATGACAAAATATATAATTTGTTTGTTGCCTTTCAAACTAGGGGGCGACAGTGGTGCGGTGGGTAGAATAGCTGTTTCCCAACTGGAAGGTTGAAAGTTCAAATCTCGGTGCCTGCAGTCCACATGTCGAAGTGTCCTTGGGCAAGACACTGAACCCCCTGTTGCCTGTGATGGCGCTGCATGTACACACAGTGGCCCAGGGCCCTCGGCTCCAAACAAAATTTCATTGTACGTGTTACAATAAATAAAGCATCTAAAAAAAAACAACAACCCTTTCTGTGTCTTCTATAAGTGGCTTGTCATTTGAACATAGATTACACTTACATGAGAACAAATAACTGACATTGCTTTCCTTGGGGGAGAGTCTTTAGTGTCTGTGACTACAATACAGTAGCTTATAGAGGCTTGGCAGTTCTATCACATACAGTATCTATCCATCAAAAAATAATCCATTTAAGGGGTGCACTGAAGGATTAAATATAACTAAATGTAGAAGAATTACACTTGAGAAGAGATGTGTTTCTCTATGGTCAAGAAATACTAATTTCTGAGTTGCTCTTGTTTAGCACTGCAACCACAGTACAAGCTGTTCAAAATTAGAAGAAACTGTTTTCAGCCATTATTGTTCTAGTACAACACCGTTCACTTTGGCTCATTCAAGTGGCATCTGTTAAGTGCAAATAGGAAGGCCAAAAGAGAAGTTTAGGTAACAAAATGATGATTCCAAAAATACACACTGGTAATATGCTATAAGATGCTGATAGCAACTAGATACCACAGGATTCTAATATCATAATGTCATAGTGATGTTAGAAACACCAGGAAGAATGTAAAACTTGTTCATCTCACTGTAATGTCACTAAACCTTATAAATAGGGATAATCCCCAGTGCCTGAAATAGTCAAGTAAATTTCAAGTGACTTCTTTCTGTTGATGTTCATAGCATTTTCTGCCTGCATGAGGTTTGAATTTTTATGCATGCCTGACACTTTCCTGGTGTAGAAATGTAATAATCATAAACTGTATGCACATGCACAAGGATTGAACCACTGAAACCACTAAATTTGACAGTGTAGGGATATATACATTTCCTAATTTTAAGATGATGAACTCAGTGGTCCTTCTTGACTTCAGGTAGTAAATGTAGTTCCTCACCTTTTCTGTCTTGTTACTGCCAGCGTTGCTGATATTATCTGCTACACTGCCTCAGATTGAAGAAGGTAATAAGAATGACGTCCTGAAGTCTTTCTAAAAAATTATAACCTTTATATTCGCAAATATTTTTCCCTTTGTGGGTAAGATTTCCAAACAGCAGGTCCACACAGCTGTTTCAGTTGTAAACCCAAACTCCAGGCTTCAAATCATCTTCCATTATTCTAAAGTCTATGATTATATTGCTCCCTGTACATTGTCAAATTGAGGCTGGTGCTTGAACTATGGGTTTTTGCTACACAGAACAGTCCTTGTGCCAGAACCCCTGCAGACCCCAGGAACCCAGATGTTTAATGTTAAATTATCAGTCTCACAGCACAGCAGTTAGTAACCTGTATTTTTATTCATTTGTCAGATGATGTAGATGTAAAATAATGATTTTACTGTCTCTACAGCACACCACCTCATCGATGGTTGCTGGTTAACATAGCCTATTTCGGATCTTAATGAACACTACTTATGATCCACAAAAACTACAAACAATATTACAAAAAATATGTAAATTAGAATGATTGTTTCAACCTATACCCAAACATAGAACCTAAAAAAAAGTAAATAAGGAAAAAAAAAAAATAGGTGTGTCGAGATAGCATTGCAGGCAAAAGGCACACACTACACTGCAAAAAAGGAATTTCAAGAAAGTAAAAAGCCTTGTATCAAGGAAATAAGTCTTATTTTAAGTCCAGAAAGAAAATTTATCTGGTCAAGTATGGTTTGCATTAGAAAAATAATCTCATTTTAATAAAGTATGGCTAATTTTTAAGAATTCTTGTCAAGCAAAAAAATCTGCCAATGGGGTAAGATTTTTTTGCTTGATACAAGATTATTTGTTTAAGAATATTTTGCTTCTTTCTAGTAGGTCTGTTTTTGCAGTGTAGGTGGAATGGCTGTGGGTTCATCTCTGGCAGTCGTGACACAGCCGGGATACAGAACAAATGCTTGCTGTGCACATTATTTCTGAATTTATGGTATGGAGGAGAATGAACTCCATTTGCTATGCCTGGCAGACAGGCCTGCTAGACAAGAAGCCAGTCCTTTTAGCTTAGCCAGTTATTGCTCTGTAATTTCTTTGCCAGATAATACGTATGTGTGCAAATAGCACCTTTTAACGTGATCTTGTATGCACACACAGGATACACTGCTGAGTGTAAAAAACACACAGGCCTGCCTCGGAAAGGAAGGGAAAGTACATTTAACAGTGCAAAGTGAGAGCAAATGTAATCCTTCTGACACTTTGTTGCCATTACAGCCCTTCACCCTAATGCTGATAGTCTGCTTTCTTTTCATTATTGTGTGTAAATAATTAGTGGTTTAGGGAATGGGATGCAACCAGACAATCACTGAGTGTAAACAAGACCTGTTAGAGGTGAAAGAGTGCTTACAGAAAAAAACATTTCTCCTAATGGACAAGGAGGGGAGCTGAGTGCTTCATCAGGAACTACACGTCCTTTTGCAGTCAAATAAAAAGTAATAAGAAGTCACTAAGATAACATCAGGATATTTAGATGGGTGATAAATCAAAAGGGAAAACTGCCATGAAGTGTCTTAGTAATCAAATCAAAATCAAGCCAAAATGTATTTATGTTGTACTTTAAAACAACTTGACCGAACATGACTGAAACAAAATAAAATGATAGACATAGGGCAAGGCAAACACATACATTTTTAATAAAGATTTCATCTCTGACAGGTCTGAGACAAATCTAACATTTGTTGGTAGGGAGTTCCAGAAGCTTGCGGCTGCTACAGAAAAAGCGCAGTCACCCCAGTGACATTGTTTGACCCCAGGGGCCTCTAACAGGAAACTGTTCGCTGGTATAAGAGCTCTCGGAGGCCTATGCTATTGCACAAGTTCACTGAGGTATTTTGGGACAATGACATTTAAAACTTTTAATGCAAGTAACAACAACTTAAACCGAATCCTAAAATGAATGGCAGCCAATGAAGAGAGGAGAGAACAGGGGATATATGATCAAATTTACGTTTACTCGTCAGGAGTAGTAAGCCCACCTGTGCTCTGTTGGAATGTTTTAGCTGGCAAAGACTTAAGTAATATACAACTAGAATTACCACTTCACAGTTCTACGGCAGGGTTGCAGCAGTATCTCGGTTTTATGGTATATGTGAAGGCTTCAGCCCTGGGATTCACTATGTGAGGCCCTAAGCTGACACTAGCAGTGAAATTAGTTAGGTAACGATCCTTTTGTTTTCTTTGTTCACGTGTGTAGATTTAAGTTGCAGGTAGATTTTAGGCATTTGATTTCACATTAGGTTTAGACATATTATTTAGACATATACAATTTATCAATGAAGAGTTAATTTTGTATTGTTAGTGTGTGTAAATTATCTTTTTGAGTTACCATGTTCCTGGTCCATGGATGGGGTGGTCCAGACAAAAAGACTGGACTGAGGCAGCAGCAGGTTTAAATACCTTCCACTAGGCCTGGACTGCACCAAGTGCCCAATACAGGAAAGAAAAATATGCAGTTGTTAGCAGATTGTCTGTTCAGTGTATTTTGGTAGATTATTTAGTTAGTATCTTTGTCCATTGTGTGTGTTTCTGGTTTGGCCAGCTATGTTCCCCATTTGTGCCATTTGTTAGTTCAGTTTTTTTTTTAAAGTTTTTTTTTCTTTTTTAGGTGCAGTGCAGTTCAGTTTGCTGTATTTTGAATTTCCTTATCTTTTGTTGACCTTTTTTTGGGGCCCTCAGTAAGAAACCTGTTGGACTAAAATATGTCATGGTATGAATATCCCGATTTGTACGTATGCATCATCTATAGGTGGGTGATGCAGATTTAATTTGATTTCATGATTTAAATCATGTGAAGTACTGGAAAATGAATATTTATGGATGAATTCAGATATGGATGTTTATTTTGGCAAATTAAGCAAATGGCTGACAAATGAAAGCACACTTTTTTTTTTTTTAATTATTTAAAAGTCCAGTACTGCTCTAAGTCATTCTGGCTCCTTTATTTGCAGTATTGCCAACAATAGCTTAATATATATCTAGAGCTATATGCTTATTTTGTTATATTACACAGCTCAATTGTATTACTATTTTTTATGTCTCCCCTTAAATTATTCCATAGTTTTACCCCACTTATGGAAATACAAAATCTTTTTTTGGTTGTACGTATAGCATGAATTTTTAAATTTAACTGACCCCTTAAATTGTATCCCCCTTCCCTTTCATTAAATAGTTTTTGAATTCCACCAGGTAATAAATTGTTCCTGGCTTTATACAAAAACACAGCAGTCTTATATCCCACTAAATCAAAAAAGTCCACTCTACTGGACTCAACTGTTCTACTCTGTCTACTCCACTTCAGTCTACCAGTTCACTTGACTGTGCTTCAGACCACTTCAAGGATAAGCTCACTTTATTTTAATCTGCATTTCCCGTATCACCTTCTCTGTGGTACACATTCAGGGAACAAGAAGTTGTTACCGGGGCAAGGGTTTAGCCTCTGAAAGAGTTCAGAATAAATGTAATGTCAGTCAAATGGTTTGTCGTGCTTCTCTGAGTCAAAGATTAGGCTTGGGCTGCAGGCTGAGGCTACCTACCCAGGCCTAATCTTTGCTTTCCTTCTGACTCAGAGAAGCATGACATTACATTTATTCTGAACTCTCTCAGAAGCTAACCTTTTGTTTTCCTGAATCTCTACAATTAAAGTAATGATAGCAAAACCACTGTTAAAAGAAACAGAGCAGGTTCCAAAAAGCAACGTTATCATCACATCACCCTGCAGGAGCAGAAACAGCTCTAGTTAAGAGTTATAACTCTGTCTTGCTCTAGGTGAGTCTGGGGCAGAGCCTGCATTGACCCTTGAGCTCCCACTCTAAAACCATATTGGCAATCAGAGAGGATTTTATGTCTATCAATAAATGTTTCTAATCTGTTATTAAAGAGTTTTTCCAAGATTTTTGAAAACTGTGACAGAGAAACTGGTCTATAATTTGTGAAGTTGTGCTTATCCCCAGATTTATACAATGGAATAACCTTTGCTATTTTCATATTAATGGGGAACTGACCAAGTCAAAATGACATGTTAAAAACATGGGTTAATGGTTTGCATATCCCCTCAATTGCCCATTTAACCATTGTCATACTGATACCATCACTATCACTGGATGATTTATTACCACATTTGTTCACTATCTCTATAATTTCCTTTTCAACTATTGGCTTCAGAAACATAGAACACATATTCCTTTCAATTGTATTGTTATTTATAATGACGTCTGTACAAATGCTACTTGCTAAACCAGGACCCACATTCACAAAAAACCTATTAAACTTCTCAACTACATCCTCAAATCTGTTGACCGGTGTATCATTGTCCATAAAATATTGAGGGTAGTTACTCCTGCTGGTACTGTTTATTTGATGTTTGTATTTTTTCCTTTTTTTTGGGTAAATAAAAAGCCCATCTTTTTTTAAATTTAGATGCTGTGTCCTCTGCCTTGCTGTTCGCTCCCTAACAGTGTACCATGGTATGAAAATTGATGATTATCATACCATGCACATTTGCTTATTACCAGTATTGAAAAAAAAAGCACAATGTGTGTGCACCTTTCTTCCCCACATGCAGACATATAGCAGAGAAGGAGGCTGATAGCTAACCACCAACAAAGAACTTAAAATCAGCAGAGCAGGAGTACTTTGTATATCACAAAAACAATCTCTCTGTACAGGTCAAGTATGTGTCCTGCTTATAACTTCAATCCCAAGCAATAAAGCGCATGAGCATTTAAATGTCAATCATAAAATGTAGTATTGAAATAATTTTCAACATTGTATGTCTGTTCTCTGATCTCTGAATTATAACAGGACTCACACTGATCTGACCCCAGAAACACACTCTGAATGGTAGTAAGAATATAAGATATACAGTATAGTATAACATCTTTCTGTATTGAGTAGCCAACTAATACTTTAAGTACAGTTGCATGATAATACTTAATTTTACTTTTACTTGTAACAGAGTGAGATACTTTTATATTACGAGATTAGTACTTTTATTCAAGTAAAGGATGTGAATACTTCCTCTACTACTGGTGCTAACATGCAAACTAACATGCTTTAGTTATATTACAGGTTATAGTTATGTGTGTTTTTATTTTATTTTATTTTATTTTATATCATGTTTATAATTCTGTTTCTTCTTTAGGGTAAAGCCTAGGCAAGGGGCCCTTGCCCTTGAAAAAAAAAAACCCCCCCCCCCCCAATTCTTTTGAGGGTCGTTGTAGCTGATAATAATAGTAATTGTGTGATAATATATACTGCTATCATTCTCTGAAAATCTCATACCATTGCTACCTTATTCTATAGTATTCCTCTGCCAACCAGTCAAATTCACAGGAAGGGGATAGACAGGAGGCCACCTTTGACCTATGACCACCAAACTCTAATCAGTTCATTAGTGAGTCAAAGTGGACACTTTTTTCAAATTTGAAGAAATTCCCTCGTGGCGTTCCTGACACAGTGCGTTCACAAGAATGGGCCGTGCCGACGTAGAGCCAGAAGACATAATCCATCTGGCCACAGCTATTGCCACAGCATAGAAAGGTTGCTAGAAATATTTGTAGTATCATCTAATCATAATGAGCTGTGTTGTGAAATATGATTTCAAATGTTTCAAATTTCAAACAAAAACTAGATATTTTGTTATTTTATTTCTTTGTTGTGTTTGTAGTGTCTGGCGACATAAAAAAAGCAGAGTAGAGACTGAAATGTATGTGAAAATGATACAGTTGCACTGTCATTTGAAGTCAGTTTCATTTTGTCTGTGCGTTTTAAATTTAATGCTGTCCTGGGTGTTATAGCTGGGTGGAGCATATTAGCACAGAGTTTATTTTTACTTCTTGGCACTAGAGGTTGGTCAGACTGTGTGAATTTTTATGTCAGCATTAAGAGAAGTACTTAGTAATAGGTCTGTAATCATTATTAGACAGATGGAAAGAGAACAGTGAAAACAATGAGAGGAGAGCAGGAGAGAAGGAGGGCAGGGGAGAAATACAGCAAGCAAGTGTGGTAACAGCACACTTACCTTGGATCCTCGCTCATTGAAAATAATCTCCACATCTAAAATCTTGCCAAATTGCTGTGGAAGATGGGGCAGGAAAAGCAGAACAAGAGAGTAAATAATTAGAACATGGCAACATGCACTGTTCTCTCCTACTGAAAAACAAACAAACAAATCAATAAACCCAAACTAAAAGAAAGAAACATTACACAGCTCCATATTAGAACACCCTCCCCATCACTACTAATAAGGTCAAGCAGTCAGTGCTCTGAATTAACAAACTCCTCTTCACCCCCCTCTTCTACTCAGATTAATAAAATATCCATTTACTCTTAATGCTGTTTAATGCTGTGTTTGCTCTGCTGTGGTAATAAAGTGTGTGTGTATTGGGGAGTAGGACTATGCAATGTTAATGAACGTTATGATGGTGGATGTGGACGCGACAGCGGTGCCTCAACACGCACCGCTGATCTTAATGATGCCCATCATCTTGCTTTTCCTCTTCTTTTAAAAAAAAAAAAAAAAAGGCAGAGCTGGAGTATTTTTAGAAATACTTCAAACAGGAAAGGAGGGGATTCTGGTTTAGGGGATGGAGGGGAGGAATACGAGTTACACTAGTGATACACTATACAATTATCTGCTCCCAGTGAAACCCATCAGAGGCATTACCTGCCAAAGCCCTCTCTCACCAGTCTAACCATGCAGTTAGGACCTATAGACTTTCTGATGTGGTTCTTGATTGGCTCCATGCTTCACTTTAATTGTCTAATTATGTCAAGTGATACTTGGTGCTCACAGCCATGCCTTTCAGCATATGGATGTTGGTGGTGAGTGTGTGGCTGTCATACTTAATTGTTTTAAATTGTAAAATACTTGAACTTATAGCTTTGGCAGACACTCCAGCAGTCACTGCTGGGACGTATATTTGTTTTAGCCTTACAGGACTGTATGTACATAAAATGTGGTCATACAATGTGAAGTGATCTGCATCTAAGTCACATAAAACACAAACTATGGTAATCTGTCATGTCTTTAAGTAACACAGTCATTAACAATCACAGTGCCAGTGGAAAAAGTAAGTGAATCCTTGCATTTAATAACTGGTTGCATCTCCTTTGGCAGCAATAACCCCAAACAAGTGTTTCCTGTAGTTGTTGATTACTGCATAATATTCAGGAGGAATTTTGGACCATTCTTCCTCACAGAGTTGCTTCAGTTCAGCCATATTCTTATGATGTCTAGTGTGAACAGCTCTCTTAGGTCAGTGGGTTAAGGCCTGGTCTCAGACTACACTACTTCACAAGGTGGATTTTCTTTGTTTGATGTTGTTCTGTAGTAGATTTACTTCAGTGTTCAGGGTCATTGTCCTGCTGCATCACACTTCTACTGAGCCTTGGCTAGAGGACAGCCAGCCTGACATTATCCTGCAAGAAACTTTGATAAACTTCATTTTGTCCCCAGTGGTGGCAGCTGTCCAGGCCTAGTGGCAGCAGAAGATTTCCAAACTATACTCTACCTTTGAGCTGATGTTTTTATGTTGTATACAGTGCACTTTTTACACTATACATAGTGTCACCAACCTTAGTTTCATCAGTTCACAAAACAATTATCCCAGTAGCGTTGTGCAGTGTGAGGAAACATGCTCACACTTAAATGATATTGTTTTGGGACAGTGGTTTTTTTCTGTGGTGTTCGACCACAGAGTTGTTACCTGGAACAACACCCCATGATTTACTTATGGTGGTTGTAATAAACAAAAATATCAATCAGCTTTTTATGCTGTGTTGTGGCTTTATGCCAATTTTTATATATTGATTAGGCCCTTTTCCATTTGTATGGATGCCGATTCATTTATATTTGTTATTGTTGAAAATACAAAAAATATAAAATACAAAGCCTGGTAATTTACATTTTTAATTAAAATCTGTTGTTTATAATCAAAATTTTATTTTTCTTTCAGTTTCTAAAGATGCACACACTATCGTATCAGCTTTTTCACTGACAGTAACACCCAGAAAATGCAGCATTAATTTGACTAGAATTCCAAATTAATTAATGTCAGTGTAAAACAGCAACTACTTCAGCTTCAGTATAAATAAATATCACTAAAAACCCAGATCAGTGGAGGCTCAATTTGAGCCTGTGCTGGGCTGGGATGAAGTCGTGTCTCTGTGAAACACAGCCAACCTTGCCAGGCACCACGGTAATGCGCAGCCTTGTGCTCCCCATCATCAGACTTGTACTTTGTTTCAATAAATAAATAAATAAACAGGGAGCAGAAAGAAGAGCAAAGGCTAGGTCACAACAATAGCATCAGCCCCGATGAGGAAGGAAATTGTGTGAGCAAAGCAGGTCACATGTCAAATCATATACATTTAAATATATGTTGGAGAACAACACACAATGTCAAAATATATGACATACATAAAGAATAAAAAAATAAACAAATACACAAATGAATAAGCAACATGAATAGCAGCAGGTTTCGGCTGCTCTCAGACCCTCAGGCAGACTACTCCAACAACGTGGAACATAAAAACTAAAAGCTTTATATAAATTGTTATGTGCATTAGCCTCTTTATTTTGTTTAACTTTTGTTTTTAATGTTCACATTTATTTTGTCTGTTGGCAGCAGTCATCTATAAAGCACTCTGAATCGCATTAACCTGTATGAAAGGTGCTATACAAATAAAGTATTAATTCATTGATTGACAGTGTATTTACTTGTTTAAGATAAATATATGGAAAGTGCTCAGGATGTGATTTGAAGAAAGAAGATTGTTATTGATTTCATTACACTAAAATGCAAACTGCTCAAATTACCTGAGACAATGGAACTTTATGAGGTTTAATATTTTTGAATGAATCAAAGATTTAATAGTTTTTAGTGTTTTTCACTGTGTGGGTGCAGATGATGTAGAGTTCAGTGCTGCAGGTGGCACAGATCCAAGCTCTATGTCTGCCTCTCTGTCACTCTGTCTTTGTCTCAAATTGCTTGCGCCCCTGCCAGTTGAAGGGGGCATTTAAGGTGCTTTTGCATCGCCTGGTACTGGCTCAACTCCACTTTGCTCGACTCAACTCTACTGTCTTTTGGTACCGTGTGCTTGGTTTTCCACTGCAGATAGTCCCCTCTCTGTGTAGCTGGTTGTCATAGCAACACTGCATTACACTGCCGTGATGTCATCAGCAACCGACACAGTAACAATGGAGGACATTGAAGGTATGCAGTTCTTGATTCTCACTATGCGGCTGTTTTTAGTTAGTACAGTAACTACAGTAAAGTAGCAGTTAGCATTAAATAATGTTGCTTTTAAAAATGGCACTTTCTTTGTTCCAGGACATCTTGCACATTGATGACGCAGTTTCTCTGACAAATCACTAGTCTGCAGTGTTTACACTTCACCATTTGGTCATACCAAATGACAAAGGTGATACCAAATATAGTACCAGGTACTATCCCCAACATTTGGCTAATGGAAACGTCAGTAAAGCGAGTCAAGTTGAGTTGAGCTGATACCAGGCAGTGGAAAAGAGGCTTCAGAGAGAGACAGAGAGGGTGGATATGCATTGTGTGTCAAGTCAATAAAGCTGCATAGTGTGTGCATATTTGTCAGTGACTACTTCTATATTATAAATGAGGGAAAATGTCATTGTGTATGATCAAAGTAGAGTAACCGAAATGTCTGTGCTGTATGTAAGAGCAAAAACCAAAAGTGGACTGCCCCTACTGTGATTTTCTGTTTGTCATGACCTTTTCTCCAGCGTGTAATTCCAAGTGCAGGTTCATAGTTTCAATTAATCAACAGCAGTAAGTAGATATAGGTTAATTGGTCAAATTTTCACAAATTACATCTTAAGATGACAGTATATTGTGTATGATTAATCTTTTGAGATATGCTGTGTGTGGAATATCTGCAGACGTGTAATGTAGTTAACTAAGAACATGACTTCAAACATTAGAATTCAACAGCTGCACAAATTACAGTCTCCAAATTCAAAAAGACTCAACAAATGTCAGAGTTAAAAAAAAAGAACTTTGAACACAGAATTTGTATATAAATGTAATATCTAATAGGCAGAATGGTAAGGCAGTGATTAGTACTGCTGCAAGAACGTTTTGGGTTCGAACTCTGGCCGACCAAGGGCCTTTTTGTCTGGAGTTTGCATGTTCTCCCTGTGCCTATGTGAGTTCTCTCCAGGTACTCAGGCTTCCTCCCACATTCCAAAGACATGCAGCTTAGTTTGATTGGTGACTCTAAATTGCCCGTAGGAGTGCAAGTGTCTGTGATTGTCTGTCTACATTTCAGCCCTGTGACAGACTGGCGACCTGTTCAGGGTGTATCCTGCCTCTCGCCCAGTGTCAGTTGGGATTGGTTCCAGTGACCCTATTCAGGAATAAGCAGTGTAGATAGTAAATAGATGGATGGGTGTATTTTCTAGGAAACAGGGCCAAATAAACTGGCAACTGAATGGATTTGTATTGAATGTGACATTTACTCTCAAAAAGAGACGTTTGTGAGCTTTCATGGATAATGCTCTTGGAAAATTACTGTCTCAGTGTATGAAGGACCTTAATGCGATTTTAATCAAAAAATCTGAATTTTATTAATACAAGTGAAATATTTTGCATTGTTTGAGTCGACATTGTGACCACACCTTAAATTTTATTATCACAACGTAGAGCGTTCAATTTTGCAGGACATACACTTTACTGATGCTTGGATCTCCAAGCGCTCACAATAATGCAACATTATGAATTTCAACCAGTTTATGCCAGTAGGCCTATTCTTTTTGTCTCTTGGAGAAAAAAAAGTGGTGGAGCATCGTTCCAATGTGTTCCGGCAGCACCACACCTATGGTTAACAGTCACTTTAAGCAACGGGCTGTGGCCTGTGGGTGGCCCATTCATTAACCCTTTCATAGATTTCCATTGAAGGATTTGCTGAAACAGCTTCTTTTTTCAGTGTGACCATGCACCTGTATATGTGCGCGTGTGTGTGTGTGTGTAATAGTTTGTTTTATCAGTCGGTATGTCCTTCAGATCACATAATTAAGAATCAGGGCAAATGAAAGCACGC